CCCCCCAAAAAAAAAATACCCGCAGAAAGAAGATTGCCAATTTCTTTTATTTCCTCTCCTTAGATCTCTCTAACCAGCCTATTTTCCTGTTTCTTGTAACATAATTATCAAAACGATGGAGTTTGACATGTCGAGACAACAAATGACAAAAAACCTTAGGACACAATTATTGAACCACAGTACATAGACTTGGAGAATCAATCATGGCTTCCATAGTAATATTGGGCCTTATTTAATGATATAATGCAGGATCACATATTGCTTATTCCTGAATATAACTTCATGGAAAAATTGCAGCAGATTGATGTCCTCAGAGAATGCTTGTCACCTACCTGTACGATTTGCGCTTTATAAAAAACAATTCAGTAATTTTTGTGGAAGAAAAGACTTTGATTAGAACAGTGCTTATGCTCATGCACCATGCGAATACATCGAAGAGCAAGTACTAATAGCTATTTGTTAACCGTTAGATGGGCTGATTAAAGTTTGTTAACAGTAGAATGTCCCACTATAAAATACCAAGTATGTTGAGAACTGTTACTGAATATTCTATACATACATATATTTTGCTTAGTTTCTCGAGGAAAACTTCCTTTGTTATGTTGTTAAGCACAAGCTAAATTAAAAGGATAAGATGGTCCAAATTGCAAGGATCTTGCTACCCCTCCTCTAATCTATCTACCCTCTTTTTCTTCAATTTGAGCGAGTCAGACTCATATCGCAGCTCATTAAATGAAACGAAATGAAAACTGGGGAAGAGCAGAAAGTAGCCTAATACCTTTCTATTTTTGACAAGTTTGTTCTGAGCCTCAAGCTTAGCACGTATCTGTCTCCGCCTCATGATCCCATGGTACTGTTTTGCATTTACATAAATTGGTCCATCCTCTGCAAGATCTAGGGGGAGTGGGACGCGGGTAGGCGCTATCCCCATCATTTGTGGCTGCATTGACCAAATATCGATATTAGAACTTTTACGAGAGAATTAGGAGTCAATATGTGATACCGTTATCCATCTTCTTTGCAAACTTAGTGACAACTATGTCTATAATGACTGAGCTCTACTCAATATTTATAGCGTGAATCAACAAAATATTGCATCTGGTGTATCACAAAATTACTTGTACCAAATCCATAACATTTTTAAGATTTAAGTCAACGAAGAAAAAGGTCAAACATATTTGCAATCAAGTTATGTATACTAGAAATTAAGCAAACATCTCAACTTTGAAGATGTAGAGAGGAAACTTCAAAGCGAACAATACAAGAGACAAAAACGAAAGCGAAGTACTCACAAAAGCTTGAGGTCCATAAGCAGTATATAAGCCAGTCATATAGGGATCAGAGTAACCAAAAGGAGAGAAACCCTGCAATATGAAAAATTATAAATTAAATCACGATAAAAGCTAAGGTAAAAGTCTCTAGAAAAGAAATGACATACAGTTGAATGGGCCACTTCATTCTGCGACGAAAAAAGAGCAGGCTTTATTTGAGCTTGCATATCTCTCCCATATCTTTCATCATGAACTGGAAAATCCAAAACAAGACGTAAGATAGCCATCGTTATAAACAAAAGAACTTCGCCAAGTCAAAAGTTAAAGCCTGTTGAGGAACATTCTGAGAGGCTAATTATACATCAGAAAGAAAACTTGCCCAATTGACAAAGAACATTTTCGCTATTATATATATAAGAAACTCATTAACTTGTTAAGAACAAATAATGTGGTCTAAGCAAGGGTCACCTGTACCCATCGAGATGTGTCTCTACACACAAAAGAACCACCTATTGTAATTTGAGTAGTACAGTTCTCGGTCATTATATTTAAACTGAACTAGCGAAGATTAAAAGATATATAGAAGGGAGTTGCTAGAAAAGTTTAACAATCTTTAAAGTATGTGTACCGTATTCTGAGGAGGCACATTGATCTTGAGAATTTGTTTTCTCCGAGGTAGTCATTTCGTCTTGTGAATTAATAATAGAATGTGTCAACCGCAATGTCTCGCCTTGTAAGTCTGGATCCAAAGACTTCATCTCGCGACAGCAAGGAGACGGAAATTCCACTTCTGAGGCAAAAATTTTATGTGAAGTTTCTTGTTCATCGGAACTCCACCATGATTAGCTATTGACAGCAAAATGATGCATAAAACAGATGTAAGCTCTAAGCTTTTCTTTAGTAAAGTTGTACTAGTACAGCAATTTACTTATCGATAATGAAGATTAGCGACAGATTTCCCAACTATGCTTCAGGCTGCAAAGTGTAGAGAGCTTAAATCCTCAAGGACACTAAGCAAAAAAGATTAACATGGCATAACACATACCAAGTCCAAAATTACTAAAGACATGCTATCAGAACTGCACACCCTTATATTGCAAAGACGAATATACAGATACTCTATCAAGAACTGCAGTAATTAAAATGTCATCGACCTGTTACATGAACAAAAACCTCCCCATTCTGCTATTAAGCACGTCGATATAAAGAGATGGATTAGCGGGATGAGTTGACAAGGGAACTAGTGGAGATAGTCCCACGTATTCTCAACGAGCAACTTAATATCATGTGCAAATGAACAATGAGAAAAGAATTGTAAGGTGTTAATTGGAAAAGGAAGTACAGAACTGCAATATGAACTCCAAAAGACGATAAACCACACAAGGACAACAGGCTTATGCAATGCTAATTCATTTAAGCATGAAATTTTATTAAATTAGTAGTACCATGGTTGATGAGCAGAGCACCCCATACAGAGGTAGACAAGAATTTTGTGTCTGATATTTACATGCATTAACTAGCAATTTATCAATATATCAACAAAAGTAGTTCACCAACCTAATATAGTCCATTCATAGATATAGACCCTAAAAACATAAAGGCTAGGAACAAATAGCAAAATGACCACCTAAAATGGAATCAGCTATACCAATTACAAAAACAACAATGACAAGAACTAACCCTCAGTCCAAACAAGCGGGGGTCGACTATATAAATCCTCACTGACCATAAAGAGCTGGACCAGGATTTCAACTCTATGGGTTGAACCTCTAAGATCTTTAGCATTGAATCCATCGTATTCTTAAAGTTATGGATTCATATCTACTGTTTGTTGTAATTTTAGTGGACTTTTACACATAAATTTATGCTCCTCGTCAAAATTACTAACCTGGTATTAAAATTTAAATAAAAAACCCGCATGCATCTTGTTCTAACATCAAAAGAAACTTATGCCCTGAAGATCATGACTTGATCAAAATGGCAATTTATCAGAAACCACTTTTCATAACCCCAGAAAACAAAAGGAGAAAAACACTAGATCAAAAACAAGAACACAAAATCATGAAAAAAGTCAACAAAATTTTCAGATCTTTATTGCATCAACAGCACCACTCTACAAATGTTGCTATTAGAAGAATAAACTCAGTTTCTTATCACAACCCATAAACAGCAAATATACAGAAAACCAATAAAAATAGCAACTTTACCCAAAATTATCTAAAAAAGGACATATCTTTGACTTTAAAGTCAACATGCATTCAAGATTTTCACTAGAACATTCTTTATCTAACCAAACCAGCATAATACACAATACCCAAAAATGGAAATTTTGAAAAATCAATAGCAAAATGAAATAGTACACAAATACTGAAACATGAAAGAACATAAGAAAATACTAAAATAGAAAAAGCAGAGAAGAAAGAGAAGTGAAATGGAGAGAATTAAGGACCTGTGGAATCTGGTAAAGTCAATAAGATAGTAAGAAATAAACACAAGTGCTGTTTCTTGTTGGGTTGAAATCAAGCATGTCTCCTTCCTTCAAACTCTCTCTCTCTCCTTTCTCTCTCTCTCTCTAAAAAGAAATCGCCTTTTTTTGCCTTGTAATTCAAGTGATGGGTTATAAGAATCTGTGCATCTTTCTTCCTGGCTATGATGTGTACAGTTAACTAAACAATTATTTCCTCTATTTTAATTTATTCATCCCTTTTCTATTCAAGGACATACTTTTATATTCTCCCTATTTAAAATTTTTTAATAATCGTGAAGTTCAAGTAAGCTAGCGCATAATTAGACTAATTTCACAAGGTGCCTCCTATCTCTCACCAATAATAAATACAAGATAACTCTATCTATCAATGTTAGCTAAATAGGAAGAAATTACCTTGTATTTTATCTCTACTAGATATTGAACCAAAAATCGCATAGTTCTAATTCTCTTCATTGACCACCAGGCGAACATTTTGGGTTAGCGTGCGGGCATTTTGACTGTTTTCTACCAACATAAGTACCTAATAACTTTATCCATTAAGGCTTGAACAAATAAAAAAAATATCACCTAGTGGAATTTGCTCTCTTTAGGTTGAAAAAGAGTTGTGAAAATTATTTTCTCTTTTTCTTGGTAGGAAAGTTATTTTCCTAGAAAAAAAAATTGAAATTTTTAAGGAATAAAATATGAAAAAAATTAGATTTTTTTAAAAAAAAAATATTATTCATACCAAACACACCCTTAAATTTGGTCATTGTCTCATTACTTAAAGGATTAAAATTAAGAAAGGTCCAAATATTAAAGCATCATCATTTCTCAAACCTTTAACCATTTTTTTGAGTTTTGTTTTTTAGCACTTCTTCTACTACTTGGATAGATCCAACTTGGTCCACTTAAAAACAAAAGTCATTTCCTTCACTGTCATTATCAGCTTTGTACACTGTGCTGTAACTCTAATATTATCTCCCTCTACCACAGTTCTTAGCCGCCCCTCCACTGTTCAATGTACTCCATCACGCGCTTGCGCTTCTCGTGCCCGACATGTTTCTTAAATGGCAATAGCTTACTTCTCCCATCTGGCTATGTGAAGTGAACGCGCTAAACTCTGGAGTGGGTTTTGGAAGTATAAATTTGATTACAACAACAACAATAACCTAGTATAATCTCATTTAGTGGGGTCTGAGAGAGTAGTGTGTACACCGACCTTACTCCTACCTGAGATAGAGAGGCAATTTCCAAATAGACCCCCGATATACTTCCCTCCGAGAACTTCTCACCTTGCTCCTGGGAGACTCGAACTCACGACCTCTTGGTTGGAAGTGGAAGTTACTTACCATCCTACCAAACCTTCGAGAAGTATAAATTTGATTATTGTTCCTAATGATGAGGTTATTAATTGGTTATTCATTATACTTATTTATTTTAAAATTTTAATATTACTTCTTACTTTTATCACAAAATCCAAAAGATATTTAGGTATGTTATCACCTTTATTTTAAGATCATATAATTTAAAAAAATTATGTTATTAAAGTTTCTATCAATCAAATTAAGACACGGGAGGGAAGTATTTAGGGGTCATTCGATTCAAAATAATATTATCTCAAAATTATAATTTTGAGATTAAAATTTTAACCTCACTTTCTAAATGAGATAATGAAATCATATATAAATATAATTCCAGTTTAAAAATAAGAAAAATGCAATTGCACATTAATATTGACACATAATCCCAATAACCAAACAACTCACTAACAACACGTTTGGTCAAGGTTCTCCAAGGTCAAACGTGTTTTTTGAAAACATTTTCGAGAAAATATATTTGAAGATATTTTTTAAAAGTTTGGTCAAATATTAATTACTATTAAAAAATACTTTTTAATTTGATTAACTATATACAAATTATTTTTCATCAAAGAGAATTTTTTAAGAATACTATTTAAAAAAATAGTTTACAAAAATAAATTGATTTTTAGAAGCTGGATCAAATATGCTATAAGAGATTTTGTACTATTTGTACTATTCTATTTCATCTATAAATTGTTTAATTAATTGTAAACCAATTTAAAACGTAAGAGCAGATCTACAAGTGTTACTATAAATATTTAATCGTAAACTCAATTTTTATAATATATTAATTTGAAATAATTATTGGAAGGTGTCATATTTCAAGAATGGAAAATGGTATATAAATATAAAAAATAGTTTACAAAAATAAATTGATTTTTAGAAGCTGGATCATGCTATAAGAGATTTTTGTACCAATTCTCACAAAAACATTTTTATAACAAGGGGTAGTTTGGTAAAAGCAAAAGTGACAATTAAAAGTAAGTAGATTCGGTTGTACATTGATCCACGTAATGTGGTACCACGCGGAAGAATCTAATTTTACGCGGACACGTGGCGGGTTTTGGACAACCTTAATCCGGTGGTTTTTGGCAGCTTTCGGACACAAAACGACGACAAGTAAAAGGACAAGAATAGATCAATGGTAGACCAATCCAAATGCCCATCTTTTGTCAACTTTCCAATTTTGTACTATTCTATTTTCATCTATAAATTGTTTAATAAATTGCAAACCAATTAAAAACGTAAGGGCGGATCTACAAATGTTACTATAAATATCTATAAATTTTTAATCATAAACTCAATTTTTATATTATATTAATTTAAAATAATTATTGAAAGGTGTCATATTTCAAGAATGGAAAAATGGTAGTATAAAATTCAAAAACAAGACGAGATTGAACGAGAGTTAGTGATTGTCAATTAAATTTACATCCTTCTAGAGCAAATATACCCATGTAATTTAAATTGCAATTTGATTTGATCTAAAAAAACATATTTTGCTATCATTTATTGGCATTACTTTTTAGTATTTTTTATTTACTTTTATATTGAAGCCCGTTCACTTTAGTTTTGCTTGCGTCTGGACTGTTAAGCTAAAGTGTTAATGGTTCTTGAAAATTATTCAAATCTCCCAAATGAAATTGTTATATTAAAAATATTTCACATCTGCCTATCGCGATAATGTTTAATTAAGTTCTCTCTACCTATGTAGAAGTTGTTCTCAAGTGTTGGCTGACTAGATGTGTGTGAAAGTTTTTCAAGTACTAGTAGGAATGCTTTACCCCTAGGATAGATTTTCCTAGTGCGAATCTCAATTAGTCGAATTAATGTTTTAATTTAATACAAAAGAAGGAAACTTGAGTACAAATGAACTTAAGTCTCTGAGAAGGATTATCCTTGAAGAAGACAAGGTTGAGAAAATTCTGACAAGGGTTTTGTCTGTTATTTGGGAAAGCAAAATCACTGCTATTCAGGAGTCGAAGAACATTGTCACTCTCAAGTTGGACAAGTTAATTGGAAATCTCACTGCTTATGAACTAAGAAGGCAGACCATGAAGATGGATGTTCCCAAGAAAGAAAGAAGGTGCAGATCTAGAGGAAGATGAAATGGATATGATCACGAGAGACTTCAAGAAGTATCTAATGAGAGGAAATGGTTCTTCAAGAGGTGCAACTTACAACAAACCAAGGGTCCCTGAAAAACAGACCAACGAGGGATGTTACAAATATTGTAAGACTGATCTCATGATCAAAAATTGTCCTCAATGAGAAATAGAATGGAAGAAGGAAAGGGCTGAACGAAGGAACAAGTTCATCCCAAGAAGAATAAAGGATCAACGAAGGCTATGGTTGCTGCCTGGGGAGAAAGCTCATATGAGGATTCAGAAGATGAAGATGGAGAAGAACAAACACTTATGACCATTGGAGAATCAGATGATGAACAAGAGGTAAGTGTGATTCATCTCAAAGACAAGATTTCTAAAGAAAAGCTATCTGAGTTACTGCTAGATTTCATTGATGAGTCTGAGGTCATAAATAATGAAATGGAACAACTGTCTAAGGAATGTGCAATCTTGAAAGCTAAGTGCAAGAATCTGGAACTCAGGGCTAGTGAAAGTGATAGTAAAAATACTGAGTTGAAGAACCAGGTTCTTGAACTTGACACCACTGTGTTAAAACTTAGATCTGAAAATTTAAAACTGAAATTAGGAACATGTAAAAAGAAAGTTGATCACATACATCTCACCTTAGAAGAAAATTTAGGAAAAATGAAGGATGAATTGTACCAAAAGAATGAGCAGATAAGAGTCCTAAAAGAAGATCTAGATAAGGTTAAGCATGAACTAGACAGAACTTACAAATGGAATAAATCCTCTAATGCACTATCTTAGCTACAAGAACAACACAGTAGCAATAAGAGAGGGCTTGGATATGGGACCCCTGCACCTAAGTGGGATCCCAAAAGCAAGTACATCACACTTCCTGAAAATAAAATCTGCGCACACTATAGAAAGACTGGTCACTTTAAAAGTGAATGTAATGCAAAAGAAAAGGCTAGTCAGAAGAACAAAACCTTTGTTCAAGGGAAAAATAGGCTGCCGGGATGGGCTAAAAAGAATTTAATTCACCCTTTTGCCTATAGAAAGGGACCCAAACTAGTTTGAGAGATGTAATCCGCAAATTTTATCTGGAAATGTCGTGAGTGATTTTTTCTCGGATGACTTCGTATAGGGTTTGATACTCTTTTGCTGCTTCCCGACTCTTTCCCAGTGAGGATGGGTGTTGGTATAATTCCAGCTTTCTCAATCTTTTGGCCATATCTCTCTTGGGATGCACCTATTTTGCTGGAAAAGGATTCTTTGTGCCTCGCTATATGCTTCCTCCATTGATAAAATGGACACGGAAAATTTCCACCAGAATGATGCAACTGCTTGCGCCTGGACTTTTCCATTAATAATCTTCACTGGCCTGTGGAACATGAATATCTTTGCTGTGTAGGAATCGTTGAAATATTTTATCCAATATCTTCTAGGTTTGAACC